TGACATTCTCTAACAAACAATTTTTTCTTAACCTACCAGATATGGATCTTGGAGGCATTGCCCGGAACTCGACCCTATTTTCGTTATCTTCCTTCATTCCCGAGGGCTATTGGATGGCAATGATTGAAGATGATGAATTGGGAACAGTGTTGTGCACTATCCACCATTGCCAAGGTTTGGTTTCATTGATTATAGTTTTAACATTTGACAGCTTTTATTTTGTTGACTATGTTTAAAATTTTATACTAATTTATATTTTTATAGAAATCCTCTCGGCCCCTGACCGAGTTGGTGCCGACATATTTGGAGGAGTCGGTCCAATGGTGGATAGACAGCAGGGAATATATACAAAGGAATAATTATCGACAGTCGGATAATAACGAGGCTGACGCAGACTTCCAACCATCGGGACCACGTCAGTCCTTTGCCGCGCACACGTCTGCAAGACCTACATACGAGCAGCAATCTCGCCAATCATCAGCTGTATATATGGACACACAATGGCATGATGAACGGCTCCAACATCAGGCTCAGGTCGATGGGAGGCTCGCTTCAATAGAAGCAAAAATATCTGAACTTGTGCGTGGACAAAATACGGCTCATGTTCCACACTACAGTAGTCCGCATGACGTCTACGTAAGAGCATTTATTTTTATCGATGTTTTAATTTGCATGTAAACAATTACATAAACAATAAATTTATATTGGATGTCACAGCATCAGCCTCCGATGACGCATGCGGCCACATATATACCGGATGATTTTCTATCCATGGATGCGGTAAATATGTTTAAGGTTTTATTGATTTTAATTTAATAATTAACAAGTGTATTAAAGAAATTAATATTGGATTGTGCGTAAATAGTACATACCGGCGCCCTACACCCCAATGGATACGGTAAATATGTTGTGGCTTCATAATGTTTTTATTTATGAAGTCAATAATTAAATTAGATAAAAATTTTATTAATTATTGGCTTGTGCTTACACAGTTTATGTCGCAGCAACAACCTCCGATGGATGCTGCGACATCTATACAAAAAAAGAGGATGACACCGTGACCAACCTGCCTGCGAAGCGAATGACCAAGAAATCGCGGTGGCTCTCGTCTCCTTGGACCGCATTTGTAAAGGGCAAAAAGGACAAGAAGGACGTTGACGAAGAGGCAATCGTCGCACAGTTGTATGACTCCGGTCGGTTAACCTCGGTTAGGTTAACGACGCTCCCGTATATAGAGGCTGACGTGGAGTTTTGGGGACAACTGTTGGGCAAGCTTGGTTCAGGCTATTTGGGAAACGACGTATGAGAATTACACAAATTTGTATAAGTTGAACAATTCATTTTTTTCGCATTTAATTATAATTGATCCATTGTTCTGTATTTTTAGCATCTTGATGCATGAACCTTCTATCTTCTCCGACAGAGGCGACCAACAGACCGTTGGACCATCATGCCGCCTTGTTGGATACCAAATTTATCCACCGAAGGGCTTGGGCCTAGGTCACAGAAGGTGTGGGGCGATGGTACACGCGAGCCATTTCCGTCATGGCGAGACGTCGACTGGGTCGGTAGAATACGGCTTCAATTATTTTCGTACATAAGATATTTTATTTATCAATTGTTATTCACAACTTATTTTTCCAAGTATTCATCCCAATTAACATACCGAATGCTCATTGGGTGACCGGGGAGCTCGACCTGAGGTCATGGCATTTGACCGTATACGATTGTCCGCCGCATATGTTCAACAAAGAGATCATTGGAATTATCCACATGGTGAAGCAGTCCCTCCTCGAATTCTTGTTAGCAATAGAATATTATGTAAAGGTCGTGGGCCAAGTTAACATACCCACTGTTAAAGTATTTTATTCGGACGACACGCCACGACAGACGGGACCGCTCGGCGAGTGGGGTTTTCTACTGCATGTTTGTTGAGCAATTGTCGCAAGGACTAGAGGTCAATTGTGATACACCTATCGACGTTCAGGCAATGATGTTTCGTCAACGTATGACATCGATATTGTATTCAACGCGTTTTGCTTAACCCAAATAATAAATTTATTCCTTGTAAATGACATTGTTTGGACTATTTTAAGAAATGTTCTTCGATAATAAGAAAGCGTAAATAACAATTATCCTACAATCGCCTTGATGAACAACACCATCGCAATCACAAAAAAGATATCCAACTTATCGCCAACATCGTCCTTAACCGGCGAAGTACAATACATTTTAAAAGATCAAACCAGTAACTTTGACAACAATAAGTTTTTTACCCGATAATACTAAATTTTGTCATGCGGATAGAGTTCCTTAATTCTTTCTATTGCTTTCGTCTTTTTTTCAATGTCCTCTTCATTCCACCTAATGTGTCTTCCAGTCTTCCCGCATGCAAGCTCGAACCATGCCTCGTGGTTCAGGTTTTCCGCCTCTTTGATTTTCTTTCGTGTATCAGCAATCCAGCACTGTTGTTGCTTAATCTGTTGTTTTGCATCATCAATCCATCTCGTCCGCTCGTTCATCTCATGTTCAATCTTCTCCTTTTTTGAATCAAGGTCCGCATGTTTTTGCTGTAGTATATCCAATTTAAGTTCGTAGTCCTTGATAGCCTCTCTCACATCATCGGACATTTTTTCAGTTAGTTGACTTCTCCACCATTCTTCTCCAAGCCTCTCCCACTCCTCATTCGTTGTTGGAACTTTAAAATTACAACTGGACGAGCTTCCGTCCATTGTTATAAAGAAAATAGGAAAACGTAGCTAGTAATATGTCCTCTACCAACAACCCATTTTATAGGAACATTTGACACCAACAAAGAAGCTTATATTTTTATTGCAAAATAATGTCAAAAATAAATAAAAACTTCGGCCTATTGCCCCTGAGGGTAGAGTCACCAAAGTCGAGGCAAAAGGGGGAGATAGTACATTGGTACTGTTTTTGGTTAGGGTTTCAGGATGACTCTTGTAAGCTTTATGTCAGCGACGATTTAACAACTCATAGACGATTTAACAACTCATAGCTTTATGGCAGGTGCATGACTGAAATTTGTAAAAAAAAATAACCTTAACTTTATGCATTTTGTAAGCATTTTTGACCCTTCTCAGAGACCAATCCAGATTCTATTTTCTAAATCAAAGTTGTAGGTTGGTAGCACACGAGTATATTAGTTTTGGAATCGTCTCATTTGGATCATCCATCTATTTTATATGAATTTTAGAAAACTGCATATTAAAAACGAAAAGTGTGCAAACAGCCTAAAAAAAGTCCATTGGTATTCCATGATTCGTTAAACACTAAAACAAGTCCACAATTGAACAAAAAAATGGCTCGCCCTTAGGGTAGATTCACCAAAATCGAGGCAAAGAATGGGGGCGATAGTACATTGATAGGGTTATAGTTCAGGCTTTTCCAGGACGAATCTTGTAAGCTTTATTGATGAATCTTGTAAGCTTTATTGACGAATCTTGACAGGGACGATTTAACAAGTCATGCCAGGTTACAGTCCGGATTTGACCACACCATGCCAGCTAATAACTCGTAGGCTGTGACAGTGCATTGGTAGGTTCACGGGTCAGGATGCCAGGACGAATCTTGTAAGCTTTATTTTAGAGACGATTTAACAAGTCATGCAGGTTAATGACCAGATTTGACCACACCATGCAAGCTGCTAGACCAATATTTTTTAAATCGTAAGGCCCGATAGTGTATAAAAGGGATGCGTTGTGAAATCATATATCACAACTTCATATCAAATCCGATACAAGTACTTGTTCAGTTATTGAAAGAAATGGCTGGAAACCCTTCGTCTTGTCAAACAATGCCTACAAGGATGAAAGCTTCGATTGAAAAGGCCGAAGCGGAGATTAAGAAGATCTCCGATGACTGGTGGGCTAACAGGGAGAAACAAAACAAACACGAAGAATCTATTGAAGAGAAGAAAAAAGCAATCAAGCAATTGCAAAAGGAGATTCGAGCGGAGGAAAAAATTGTGAAGGACATCGTGAATGGGTACCCAGTGATGCAAGAAATGATCAATGAAAAACAGTACTGGATTGAGTCTTGCAAACAACTTTACCCGGAAGGAAACTAGCATGAATGTTATGTATTAATGTTTTTGTTGTCGTTGATGTTTTTCAGTTTAATGTTACGTTTGAATGGTGTTGTTTCAGTTGATTCGTCAATGTATTAATGGTTAATGTTCATGCATTTCTAAATCAAATTTCCATTTCCCATTAAAACAACAAAAGTACACTTAAAAATCGTACATTTACTTACTTAAACCGTAAGTATCAAATACATAATCTTGTGTAGTATCAGGTTCAGACGGACCACAATCGCTTGGACGACTGACTGATCTTCGACGACTACTTGAACTTCTGTGCGTCGGCCTAGGAGCTGGCATAGGATTCATATAGTTATATCGAAAATGTCCACTCTGGCCGCATCGACTGCAAGTTTTCACTATTGGTTTCTCGTCCCGTGACGGGATACGATCGCGGTTGCGTGGCCTGTCTGAGTTTTGTATGTCCAAGGGAGGCGGTAGGACGGTCAAACGTTCGTTGGGCAACACATATTCGACTTCTGGTGGAAGGGGAATGACTTCCTCCTCGTATGTTACACGGTAAGAGTCGGAATTGAACCAAACAGAACAGAATTGACTGCAATCTTGAATATCTAAACTTCGAGCAACAGAAATCACATGACTGCAAGCTATTCCATAAAGTTGCCATTGCATGCATGTACAAGTCTTAGCATGCAAATCACACATTCCTTTTTTATAGCGGTCGTCAAATTCAAACAACAAATCGCTGATGGGATATACCTTCCAATTTACGCTCCTATGTATTCTCTTCTCTAATTTGGCCTTCGCCCAAGGAGTCACTGCATTCATCATTTGCGCTACAGATATTTGATATTATTAGCATATGTTACATAATCAAACATATAGTCAAAGGATGGTTGAATTTACCTCCGTTATGCTGACGTATGAAATACCATTGTTACAATGTCGCCCGATAAAATTCAACTAACATTGTTATCGGAAGATAGCGTGCAAACCGTGTTACTGAGTTGATGGACTCAGCACTATTGGACGTCATTGCACTGTAACGCAATCCAGGGAAGTGCGATCGTGCCCTTCTAGCATAGCCAACTTCCTCAAGATATTGAGCGGCTCTAGGTAGACTGTGCCGCATCAAATCCATAGTAGCTTCAAAGTCCGACAACCGGTAAGCTTTGCATGCCTCCCAGAACATCCACCGTTTCCTTTTCTCTTTAGCGGAGTTTAGGCGGAGGTTTTGGCTCAGATGCCGACAACAAAGTCCGTGGTGCGCAGAAGGAAATACAGTTCGTATGGCCAGGTCGATAGAGGCAGCCCTATCGGTGACGAAGGTTAAATTGGGCACGTCACCGATACACTGCCTAAGCTTACGTAAAAACCATGTCCATGAYGKGCCACTTTMTGTCTTCCYCACTCCCATTGCAATAGGTACGATACCATTGTTTCCATCCATGCCGACCGCTAAGAACATGGTGCCAACGTACGGCCCCTTCAGATGGGCACCGTCCATTATAAGAAGCGGTCTCATGTGTCCTAGAAAAGATTGAATCTGCAGATGAACGAGATTAAAAATGTAATTTCAGAACATAAAATTATGACAATAATTATAAAATATGACAAAATTATTACCGAACAACCGAGTGCGACAAACAACATGTCGAATCGTCCAAGTGGATCAAGAGYGATCTCYGTCACAGTCCCCGGATTTGCTAGCTTMAGATTGTGACAATAAACCGAGAGTAGGTTAAACGACAATTYYRGGGTCCCCCTCAACAGTTGCAAGGCATACATCTTTGCTCGCCATGCTTGRTGGTAGRAGATGCTAATATTGAACCGTTGGTTCACATCTTCCATGATTTCTTTACCAWGGTACACTCTCCTACAATCCTTTAAACTGCCTGCAAGTATATGACCCAAAACCTTTTTATTCGCATTACGGTGGTTTGGGTGCACTTGGGACCTTGAACATGTGTGTTCATCGTGGAGCTTTCGTACCTGAAAAATACTGGTACCATCGATGAAAACAGCCATTAAACGCCAATCACAGTCTGAATCTGAATGACATACCACCTCGTACCGGTGTTTGGAAGATTTCTTTACTTTCATCTAAAAGTTTTCATGGACGCACTTTAATCCCACTGCGAGCTTAAGTGCTTCCTTCGAGTCAAAGGTTTGTAGAACTTTGACATGGGATGTAGGCTGGTAGGAAATGTTTCCCTGTCTACTTTTGATATCTGGGTCCGGACAAGGTGGTGGGTCGGACATACCCCAAAAACTATTCCTTACCGGCTTGATATCTTCAGAATCGGAGTTATCGTCGTCTTCGGGTATGTTCAAAATTTCGGCAGCAACAGAAACATCTTCTGCCATATCTACCTCCCATAACGGTTTTCATAATTCGGGAGACCGGATCAGGTACGGGTTGGGAGACTGCATCGGAGGCATGTTCAAGTCTTGAACAAAATAACTGTCAAGTTCAACGGTACTTTTTTGTTCAAGATATGAATTTTCCGTGCCATCGTAAGGGAAGAAGGTGCTTTGATTTTCACCACTTCCACCACTAGGGAAGAAAGTGCTCTGATTTACACTAGGAGCACAACGGTAGGGAAGAGTGTGCTTGGACCATATGGGTTTGCACAGCTAACGTCGGGGAAGAGTGTGCTCACAGCACTGGGGTAAAAAGTGTTTGGACCGCCCGAGTTTGCACTTGATGGATTTCCTCTATAACCTCCATTGTCGACCACATATAGTGTCAACATTTCTGGTGAAGTTTGAGGAATGGCGTTGTGGAGGATTACCACATCATCGTCGTCCATAAATTGATATAACGTATTCGTTTTAAAAAATAAATCGAAAGAACCACGTAAACTTAACTTTTTCGTCACACGTTTGACGACCCCAGAATACGTTATTGGCGAAGACAAACGTATTGCACATGTGGGGGAGGTTATCGGAAGGTACTCTAAAACACCATTTATATCTTGGAATAAACCGCCACTTCGAAGATACACACAAATATCATCATTTTGACGTGATTTCATGTTTTGTGATGGTTGATTGTGTTTAATGGGTTAAGGGTTGTGAGAGTAGAATATATGAGAAGAGAAATGAAAGGGAAGGTGTGAAAAATTATGAAGTAGGAGGTTGGTATTTATAGTGAAATTGGAGGTAGAAAAAAAGAAAAAAAAAGAAAAAAAGAAAATAAAATAGAGGTCAAATTTCGTAAATCAAATATTATATCTGATTTACGAAACCCAAAACAGATAAAAATAATTTTTGCGTCTCCATAATTATAATGGTTTATTTTTAAACATTTACCCATGAATTTTGGTTCTAAAAAGGTTAAAAAACACAACTTAAATGGTGTATCAGTTTTATTAAAAATACCAAAAAAAAAAATCAAAAAAAAAAAAATTAAAAGGCTGGATCGCCCCCTAGGGCGAGGTCAAAACCCGGTCTTCGAGGTGAACAGTAATCTCGACTTTTATGAAAAAAAAAATTTAGAATTCTATTGGGGATCGCCCCATATGTGTACGGATCGCCCTATGGGTAGATCTGGGTGGTCAAAAACGCAAAACCTCTAAAAATTGGTTATTTTGTGGTAAAAGGTTGTATAAAATGGTTATTTTAATAAAAATCCCGCATATATATATATATATATATATATATATACTATATATATAACCATTTAAGACTTTGTCTTAAATACAAGTCTCTAAGTACAAGTTACAACTATTTTATGCAACAAATTCAAAAAACTCTTAAAGACAAGTCATAAAACATATGGTACAAGCTTTTGATACATTGACCGTCTCTCATGACTTCTTCTCTAACAAAATTGGTAAGTCAAAGACCTCACTTTCTTCTGCTCTTCTTGCTTTTTCCTCCTTTTACTGCTCTCCTCTACACCAAAACAGGTTTGTTTCGTAAGGTCAAAGCTTGCTTTCTTTCAATCCTGCTACTTTGCACAAATGGACGATTTCAGACTTCAAATTCATGACCAAGACGACTGTGCATATTACCAGTTTTGGAGTATTGATTTTCAACAATGATTTCCATGAGGTATTGATTTACATTTTGTGGTTCCCTAGCGATTTTTTCTCTGAGGTATGGTTCATTTTCATTTCAAAACCCTAGCGATTTCATGGTCTTGATTTACGGGTTCTACAGCTTCATCTCTGTTTTACGATTTGTTTTTCTTTCTACCTCATATAGCCGAATTTTACACTTGTTTGTGTTGGTGTTTGTTGTAGCCAAACTTTCATACGTGTGTGTGTGTGTGTTTGTCTTTGGCTATGAAAACATATCTATGGAAGTTGTCTATTTCCTTTTTGCTATTATCATTGTTTTCATCATGTAGGAAATGGATACTTTAATGCTTATCAGTTCTAAAATGACTTCATTTTGATTGTTTGATTAAACTTTCAGTTTTATTTTCACAAAATGCAGGTTTTTGGTTTGCTGATCGGTTTAAGGGAATGCTCACAGTTCACAGATTCCATCTCATGCGGTACACCATTATTTTATGGTTTTGCTGCAAAACCTAATGGGATAGTTTTGGTTTCAAGGTCTGATCTGTTGTGGATAGCTACGTTATACAGAGTGACCAAGGATGAATTTTACTTGAAATAGTAGTTAGGCATGTGAGGATTGCTTATAGGGGTGTTCAAAAATACCGTTAGACCGCTCAAACCGGTCGAACCAAGTCAAACCGGACCGTTTTTGACGGTTTAAGCGGTCTAGTGGTTTGGTTTGGTTTGGAAAATTGCAAAACCGGGCGGTTCGGTCCAGTCTGCGGTCTGGAACATTTTTTGGGCGGTTTGGACCAAATCGACCGCCAAATATATATATATATATATATATATATATTATTTGTTTAATTATTTATTTTACTATTAGCAAACCCAACTTTTTTAACTTATGGACTATGCTCAAATATATTTCTAAGCCCAACATAAAACCTAACATCTAATATAATCATTATAGATATTTAATCTAAAATTATAAATTATATATGTTTTTTTAAGTTTAATATTTAAAGTCCATTAAAGGCCCAAACCGTCTAAACCGGTCAGACCAGACCGCCTTTTCGTGGTCTGGTTTGACCGGTCACGGCACTTGATGTCAAACCGCTCGGTTTGAAAATTTTATAAACCGCCATTACGGTTTAGTTTGTGGTTTGAGGGGTTAAACCGCCCAAACAGGACCGCAAACACCCCTAATTGCTTCCCCAAAGTGGTACAACTTTTATTTGTAAATAATATTGTTCTTATTATTTTGCCATTCTTTTTCAATTGTGCATGCTTGATGAACTTTTAGTAACTGCTATATTGCTAGATTCTAGCTATATTCTTATGTTGTAGATATATGATAACTTGTATGTTGATTCTTTTGTTACCCAATTTTCTTGATAGTCTGCATAAGAATATGTTTCAGAAATTACGGATGTTTAAGGCTTTGTTTCTTGGTTGTTCATCCCTATTTGGTGTTGGGCTGTATTTCTCATATGTATGTGTTGTTCCTTAACGAGCTCGAATAAAATCCTGAAATGATTGTTGTTGTTGTTGTAGGTATGTTCTATAACCATGAAATATAAGCTTTGATGTTCCAAATAGAATTCATACGAGCTTGTTATAATTTTTTGTCCACTTTTTAGGATTCTTTTGCACATGCCATTACCCAGCTGCATATAGAAAGATTCAACCAACATCGTATGGGTTCTCTTTTGTATTACTTGATGTATATTACTCCAATTACTCCTGTTGTTCAATAATACTTTTGTTCTTTCCGAATACCACCATATACTACAAGTAAAGTTGTTGAAATTCTACACAGGTAACATAGTTTGATTTTTAAGGGATAAGGGGATTATCATATAACATTTTGTCTGTTGTATTGATTGTTAGATATTTGTTTTCTTCTTGTCATAGGAACTAGGAAGAGAGCAAAAAGTGATGATACCATCGCAGATGCTTCTGCTAAAGCTGAAAAGTTTGCTTAAAGATATTATTCAAACTAACCTCTGGATTGAGTATATACATGTTCTTTTCTCAGATAGTTTACTTACTACTAATGATGTTGTTGTAAAAGCTTTGACAAACTTGAGAGACATGATTTAATGTACTTGAAGTTAGTGTACCTATTTTATTTTATATTAAGGTACTTATTTCGAGGCATTAGAGCTGCTCATTGTTGAACATCCATCCAGGTAAATTTCTTTCAAGTTTATATCTGAATAACTTTCAGTGGTCAAATAATATTATCATTACCTCTAAATTATTCTAGAGGTGCTCTGGTAAACTTGAATGAGAAGTGTTGGATAATCTTATCACAACAAATGCTATTACCTAATTTTATGCTTTCTATCATTGCTTTTAGAACCTATGAACACCGTAGCTCAACTGTTTATATTGAGGTATGTGGCTTCTTCCTAGAAAGGGATAGGTAAAGGCTATTTATAGTGGTTGTGCTTGTCTCAAGGCAAGGGAGGTAGTAGGATGATAGCCATTAGAAAGAAATTCAAAATGTTCTGACGCTGCTATTATCTTATAACTAAAATATAAAAGAATTGACAGAAGACAAAAGATTTATTAGTCGGCCAGCTTTCGGAGGCTGGAACTCTTTCCATTTCCCCTTTATTAACTTTCAACACCAAAGAGCAAATTTTATGTTGCATGAGACCAAGTTGCTTAGTGAAAATGGGATTGCAGGACAAGGGAAGATTAAAGGTAGCATCAGTGGAATCTCAACTGCTAATCCCACTCAGAAAGTATGGTTGGTTGCTCAAGCTATTGAAGATATTGCGTTTTCATTCATTCTTCTTGAAATACAGGTGTCCGGGTTTTGGGTGTGAAAATAGTCTTGATCGATCTTTTCTAGGCTTTTTTGGATTTTGGAAAAAGAAGGTTGGCCTAATCGGGCTTTTAGGCCTAGGTTCGAGTTTGCTAAGCCCGGGCTTTTTCAGACCAGCCATTCAATCATTTGTGCATCTCTACTCAATACCAACAATGGAGAAAGAATTTCGCAATATCAGTTCATAGATTATGACGAGATGTCCCACATGATAGTGAGTCTCCTTATAAATCAATTTAGGGGTCGTTTACCAAATGCTTACTTGGGTAAGTGAACACCAAGTCACATTAACTTACCGGATGAATATGCTAAGGATCAAGAATCTTACCCGGTAAAAGCGAGACAAGGACCAAGAGTCTTACCCGGTAAGTGAGGGCGACGACTTTTACCATGGTAAGAGCTTACCGGGTAAATTCTTGCATACAATACCGTTTTGGTGGACTAAAATCTTACGTGATAAGTAAATTATAATGTTAAACTTTACCGGTAAACACTTACCGACTAAGTGTTTGGTAAAC